AGTGTACCTCTGGTGCAAATTACTGACCTCTGTCATCATTTTAGGTGGGGGAACTTGCACAATCGGTGGCTGACTAAATACTTTTTTGCCCCACTGTATTATGCTGAGAAAAAGAAAGCATAATGCTGCCACCACCGCGCTTCACTATAGGGACGTATTAGTTAGAGAACCTTCTAAGTTTTTTCTACCATTTAAATGCATCACTGTTAGTTTATTTCTAGTTTTAAAAGCTGAGACACATGAAAATCTTACAGTTTCTGTTTCGCTGGATTTTAGGACGTCTCCGCTGTCCCCATATGAACTGAATGCAGCATTAGTCCGACATGCCTTACGATGAGTTTACCAGTGTTTGGTTCCAGAAGGTAATCACTCAGTAACCGCTCTTAAAGGTCACTAACATGCTACTGCAAACACCGGAGCAACAGACTTTGAAAGAGCTGGGGGGGATAAAAGTGCGAGTGTGTCTGGGGTGAAGTGCTCTTCGACTGAACGATAACTTGAGTCGTGCAGACACGTAGCTTGATCGATGGCTCCGTTATTTACAAGCAGAGAGTCGTAATGAGCAGGGCTAACAACCTTTAGCTGATCAATGGCAGAATTAGTCGTTCATATTGATGCGTGGCATGTTGTGCTCCTTCAAATAAGCTACTGAGACAAAAAAGACCTACTCTATATACTGGATGTCTTATTTCTGACGCACTGGTAAAGTGAGTCACGCCTAATGTGGTTTTATTTGCCGCCTCTCTGATTCCTCCAGCACAAATAAGAGGCCTGTCTGAAGCACAGGACTTGTCCACATGTATTTATGCTTGTTTTCGTGTTCTTCTGGGTTTGATTGATGTTGTTGCCAATTTGTTTCTATGATGATCACAACAGCTTTGTCACAATTGCCCAATCAGGGTGCGCAATCAATTTTCTTTCTCTGAACTTGCCCTGCTGTATTGGCTCAAGCATCCTTCATCTCTTTTCTTTCTTCTCCATTAACACAAAGTCACTTCACCAGGAAATTGCTCATATCTGGCCTCTTCAAGTAACTTTTTCATTTGGTATTGTCTATACCATTTTTATCATTACTGCAATGAGAGGCATTCAAGCGCCCCTGACTCAGCCACAACTTGTACCTGTTGCTTATTTAATGGATAAGTGGACTGGAATAAGTGGCTCTTATGTAACCACCTACTGCCTATTCGCTGTTTTTCACTCTATGTCCTGCACCGCTCCCTCTCTCTCTCTTACCCTCCTCTTAAATGAGGAGTGCTGCTATCAAAGAGTCATGGTTGGATGGAGTTCATTAATTTCCTCCTCCACTGGTAAACAAGCTCATTGTCTAATTATAAGTCATCACAGCTAATGAGCACAAACATCTCCGTTATAATATGCCAAGAGTTTCTGAGGACGTCGTCCTGCGCACGCTAATCAGCTACAAGACAGGAAGGTTAATGGCAACAAAGAGAACGCACGGTAAATAAACAGGTCGACTAACCATGTCTGAGTCCACTCCTCTCTGCTCCGGCAGCAGGGGCTTCTCCTCCGTGAACTGCTGCTCCTTCATCCCCGCCATCCTGGACAGCAACCTGCAATCACCATGGCAACACGCAGAAAAAGACACATCTAAGGTTACGCTCGCATTTCATCACACAGAGCACGCTGTGGAGCTGACCTTAAAACAACAGTTAAAATAAAACAATCATTCGCATCTCTGTGAGAAGACAGCAGCGGTGACGTCCTTCACCGGATGATTTCAGAAATCTGGGAGGAATCGGATCGCTGATTAAATGTTTCTGCTGACCTGGAATAAACAGAGCTGCTCACAGATGAGGAGCTGATTGGAAACAGAGACGGAATCATGATGCAAAACAGCTTTGCTACAAACCTGCTGCCATCCTTTGAAAAATTTAACAGCAATGAAAAATTTATTTCTATCACTTTTTGGAAACATAGAGACAAAATTTACATATACAGTGGGGGAGAGAATCTAGAGCACAGTAATGACCAGAATTTTAAAAAGCCTGGGAGAAATGTCTAAGAGCAAATCCCCCACAGTGAGTCAGTCGATCCACTGGAGGCATTTATGACATTTGTAGATGCATATTTTTGCCTTCTCTTTTTGTGATATTGGTTGTAACACAAGGGTAAAACATGGCAGTTTTATCCAAAAATAATTCAAGAGCACAATTAAACAAAAAATGACTCCAAGAATGCATTTCATGTTAAACCTGAGCCCTAAATTTAAAGTGATGCTTTTTCTTAAACATCAATGTACACTTCTGTAAATGCTTGTTGGTAGCTTTTGGAGCATGTTTCATAGACTAGCTTCTGGCTTCGAAAGCACAATATACTAGCAACCAAAATGCTAATGTTAAAGCTTCTTGTTCAAAATCCGTGAGTGATGTTGCTATGATTACGCCCACTTTTTATATAAAAAAAACATGCTGTATTTAAACGCTACTGTAAACATGTAAATACTAGAAAATGTTGCAGCAGCCAAACACATGCCAACTGGTCTCTAACAAGTTAGTTAGCAGGTATGATAGCGCTCCATGCTCTTGTTCAAATATGGCTAATGCTTGCTCCAAAAACATGGCTGTAGCCAAAATACTAACACTGAGGCTTAAAATGCACACACTATAAAATATGGGCTAAAGCACAGACACTATGTCCATCCTTTACATAGTGTGTGGTTCTGCACAATTCTAGACTCTGTATGTCAGTCCCTGAGGAGTAAACCAAAGTGGAGAGGAATAAAGAGGAAAAGTATGATCATCACTGTAATGATCATACTTTGCAAAGTAACAAAAACGCATTCACAATTGGAGTGGACATAGATGCTTACTGACCGCGATTCCTCTTTTAAAAGTGGAGCTTGGGAGTACACACGCTGCAAGAAAAACAGGGCTACGTGAAGGTCTGATCAAGCAGGCTTATTGTGCTTTACAACACGGCCACAGCACGTAGTTACACACAAGGAAGCCAACAGACACTGACACATGAACACACCCTGCGAGTGGGCTCAGCCAGCATCAGAAGATTAACAGTGCTAGATGTTGACATCAGTCCACCAACAGTGAAACACAGAGGAGCATGCCCACGCTCAAAGGGCTCAGGGCTAATTTAGCTGATACTGCAGGCCTCAGCACTGGAAGGCTTTGTTGCATTTATTTTACATTAAATAGCACTATCAAGACAAACTGAGGAGATGCCATGCCCTTCACTGGTAACCATCAGCCCAAATCAGCTGCATGCACGGCTGACAGAATTGTGTTACAGTTTGATTTCAAAAAGTACTTCACTCTATACACTTTAAGGACTTTCTCTGCCTCACATTTATGGCCAGTTTCATCACCAATTAGGCTAACATGCACATCTTTGGACTGCAGTAGAAAGCCAGAGCACCCAGAGGAAGCCCACGCAGGCAAAGAGCAAAAAAGGAAAGGCCCCAGCCAGGATTTGATCACTGTAATTACATTGCCACTGTGTTGCTGTCTGTAAATGCTAACCACTTTCAGGCTTTGGTGAAGCATGTATGGATTCTGTAGGTGACCCTACAAAGCTGCAGGTATGGTCACCAGCTAACTGCCTTGTCAAACCAACTCCTAATATTTTCAGTAATAGATGTGCAGCAGGTGTTATTTGACATTTTCCTTTTCAAATTTTCTCAAATTTCAGTTACATGAATCGATTAAATATCAAAGCAATAGATACTGAAAATATAACATAAAACCAAAACTATATGAAATATCCAAAATGTTTAATGAGATTTGGATAAATCCCCTTCAGCACCACCCTGACCGTGACATCATCATCTCTGCATCTGATCCCTTCTGTCTCATTTTTCGTTCTCTCCAGCCTCTTTTGTCCTCTACTGCAGCCTCTCTCCTCTCTCTGGCAGTCATGCAGCATAATCTCTGCGTTTTATCCAACACCCTTAAAGAGACAAAGCCCAGATGCCACTTACACTTGCTCCTGGACGCTGATGAAGTGTGTGTTTGTGTGGTTGTGTGTGACCTTACAATGTCAGAACTACTACTTAACATGGAAAGAATCTTCCACCCTAGGAAACAAAACACATCATCGCAGCAGCGTTTTTTAAGCAAAGCTTCACCAGTCAAAACAAATATATGACTTGCTCTGTCTGTGCTAGTGGCAGTGACAGAAGGTGACTTTCTGAGCACAGAGTAGACTGCAGCCTTTGTGTCTGGTGCTCAACTAAATTCTCCAGAGCTGAATGCCTACGTCAGTTTACTGAGTCTGTCACTTAGTGCTGGGCATGTGTTTCATGGCACAGAATATATAGAAAGTCACTGGGACCTAAAAACTTCATGTATAGAATCACAAGTTAATTTTTTTTAATGTTTTTGGATGTCTAACACAGTATTTTGTGTGCTGGTTTATATTTTTGGTATTCCTTCTTTCAGTTTACCCTTCCTCCCTTCTGTCACCCTTCCATTGTAAAAGTCTCAATCAGTGATTTCCCCAGTTTACTTATTTCCTGTTTTATTTTGGTAAGCCCTTTCTTGTATGTTTGGTATTTAGTTTTACCTTCCCTGTCTAGTTTTCCTGATTAGTTACAGCTGTGTTCCCTGGTGTTTCTGTGTGGAGAGAGCGCTGCTACGCACCTAGCGCTAGCATTGGAAGGAGATGCACTGCAAGTACTCCTTGACCTAGCCCCGGCAGAGCAGCATGAGCTCCAGGCCCTCACCATGGCATCAAGAGGCGATTTGGGCAGCGGCACTCCACTGATCAGAGCACAGAGCATCTGACCATCCGGCCGGGGGAGAGCCTGGGCACCTTTGCAGTGGATGTTTTGCTGTATGCTTGTCGTGGCTACCCGGATTTCCCAGCAGCAGTCCGTGAGGAGCTTAGCCTGCATGCTTTTCTGCGAGGACTCTTTCCAGAGTGACTGCGCCAACACGGACGCCTGGCCATGCCTCGAACTTGGGCGTCCCATCGACAGACCGACCGTTGCTACCGGTGCGATGAGCCTGGCCATGTGGTACGCGACTGCCTGGCACCCGCCCCGAAGACCAGAACTATGCGGCCTCAGGGAAACAAGAGGGGGAGCGGTGTAGCGAGGGGACCACCGCTCCAGCTTCCTGCCCCCCTCCAAGAACAATGCACGGTGGTGGGCCGAGTCGGGCATATCAAGGGACTCTACCTGAGCTGCTGTGTTGAGGACCAGCCCTGCCGGGCTCCGGTGGATACGGGGTCTACTATTTCCCTAATACGACCTGGGGTGCTCCCTGGGACGTCCGGGCCACTTGTGATGGGTTGGTCACCCACCGACACCCAGCTGATGACGGTGACAGGGGAGAGGACTGACATGCGAGGGAAGAAACCATTGTGGATCCGAGTGAAGGATCTGGAGCTGGTGCATGACTTCTGGCTTGCTGACATCCAAGACCAGTGCATAATCAGCCTTGATCTGCTGACCCGCTGGGGGGCCTGTGTTGACACCGTGAAGCTGGCTATCACTCTTGGTACAGAGACTCTGGCCCTCCAGTGCGGCCAAAAGCAGGGAACGGAGGGGACCACAGACAGACAAGCCGGGCTTCAGGCAGCTGCCGCTCAACAGACTTCGGATTCCGGTGGCTCTGGACCATCTCTACTCGCCTCAGCCCCAGCCTCTAGGCCAGACAAACCTCCCTCGACCGAGACAACCCAAGCTGTTGATGACCTGTGGCAGCGCAGCAGCGTAGGTCTCACCGTTGACCAGTGCCAGCGGTTGAGGTGCCTCCTGGACGAGAATGTGGACATCATCGCCGCTAGTGACAAAGACTGCAGGCAGACGCGGCTGGTTCAGCACACCATCGACACCGGCTCTGCTCAACCCATCCGTCTGCGCCCACACTGGCTGCCCCTCTCGAAACAACAGGAGAACTGGGACCAGGAGGCACTGGGCGTGGCTACTGCTCAGGCCACAGCCAGCCGAGGGGGATGGCTCCCGTTGACCACGCAGCAGCTGAAGCGGAAGCAGGAGGCTGACGCAACGTTGGTTCAGGTGGGGGCCTGGCTGGAGGCGGCACAATGCCCAGGTTGGACGGGGGTGTCGGGACAGGGGCTCAAAGTGAAGGTCTACCACTGCCAGTACAACAATGTGGAGACCCACGACGGCCTCCTAGAAAAGAGCCTGCGATACCAGGTGCCAAGGGGGAGCTTTCATGCCTGGCGACAAGGTTTGGGTGTGCTGCCCGGTTTGCAAGAGAGGAGTGCCCCCCAGGCTGTGCAGTCACTGGCAAGGACCGGCGGAGGTCGTGGAGCGGCTAACAGAACTGGTGTACCGTATCTGCATACCGGGCCTGGAGCGCATGGTAATGTTGCACCAGGACAGACACCGTACCGACCACCCGCTCCAGCTGCCGCTGGGGCAGGGGAGCGGGTGGCACCCTATGTTCTGATGGGGTCCCCTGCTGGTCGAGATCGCCTTTGTGTTGGGTAATGGGGTTGTCGGGGACGACTGACCCCTTAGGTGTGGGCTATGTAGTGGGTCAGGGGTGTTTGGCGTTTGACAGCTATGTTCTGTTGTTCCAGGCGGCAGCGTTATGTTGCTATGGTTACAGGTGACGCTCTCTCTCTG